ATTAATGAAATTGAAACAAATGCAATTATCTTCAAACCGAAAGGCACAGCGTGTAAGGCCCCCACAAAATTAATAATGACTTCATCGGAGGTTAAGTTTGTAACTACTGTTAAAACGTTAGGCGTGATTTTTCACGAACATTTGTTATAGAACTCGCAAGTTCAAAATCTTACTCTCAAACTTTCAAGCATTATAGGTATTCTATATAAGAATCGCTATATATTGCCATCTCGTGTAAAGCTTTTAATTTACAATGCATTATTTAATCCTCGTATATCATACTGTCATCTAATTTGGGGAACTACGACAAGTACTAACGTTGATAAATTCTTTTTGCTGCAGAAAAAAGCAATTCGCATCGTAACTAATGAGTCTTATTGCGCACATACTGGACCTTTTTTTTCTAAACATAAAATAATGAAAATCAAAGAATATATTAAATATAGGCTAGCAACTATGTACATTGCATCACTTAAATTTCCTAATCATCCATTACGGCAAATTTCCAAATTGACTAGCAAAAATATATTGCATACGATATGCGCAGCGCCGGAACCTTGAGAGTACCACGTCCAAGAACTAATTATGGTCTTCAGATGATTCAGCACACACACTCCAACAGTACTGAATTTTTTCAAACAAAAAGGTGTCTGCATTAAAAATGTAAACAAGAACAGTTTGCGTGAAATATTATCCTCCTAATAACATATTCTTCGGTGCGGTGCATAAATGTGTTTTTCTTTTTGTTTCAAATGATGTAATTGTATCCCGCTGACAGATCTGCCTGTAGGAAGCAGGGGCTTCACCAATTAATGAAAAAACGGTTAAAGTGCAGGCGAGCTGGTGGATATTTACCATGATGGAACTTAACCCGAGACTAGGGTGCATTGTTGTCTTTAGATTTTTTTTTTCTGGTGTGTTGTGTCTTTGAAAGTGGCGTGTTGAGTGTTTGGGTGACCTTGTGGTTGTGAGTATATAAGGATGTGGGACTAAATAAATCTTTTAGCTGCGTTTGAGACGTTCTCTTCTTCACGTGTCTCTGTCCCTTCTACTTTTAAGTTTCTGTTTCCACCCCAGTCTCGGATTAAGTTCCATCATGGCTTCACCAAGCTGCATTTCGGCAGCTTTTTCTCCTGTTTCCATCGCCCATTTTGTTATGGGAGCAAATAAAATGAATTGAATTGAATTGAATTTTATGCAAGACACGTGCCACGACACCACAACTCCCACGAGTGGGTGTCTTTCTTCTTCGACCAAGTTTCCCTGCTTTTACCAGAGTCTCAGGTTTTCTACATTATGAAAAATTGTGTTTGCATGTTTATACAGCCTGAAGGTAGTCTGCCTCAACTGGTGGCTGTCACTTGCAGAGCACTGTGCAGTGCCTGCGCAGCCGTGGAGGGGGAGGGGTATGTCGTCCAGCGCGTCGTCTGGTATGGACCCGGAGCCACGCGCTGGCTGCTTTGCCGCGACATGAAATTTACTCCCGCACTTCGAAGGTCGGTCGGCTTACATTTCTGAGTCGATTATCGAGAACTGCCTAAAATATTTCGGGCACAAACCAATCATCCCGTAGCTGCTGCTGATTATGGTTCTCGCGGAACGTTATCTGGGTAAAATTATTTTCATACAGCAATGCTCAGTTTCTTCGTAGTTAATTGTTTTCTTTTTCGTGGCTTTACAATAAAATAAACGCCAAAAAGCGTCACAAACGGGTCCATCACATTATTTACAGCAAGACACTGTCGTCTCCTGTTAAATAGGGCGCGAATAGCGCGCCATGATTCACGATACATTGGCTTTGTTTAGTGTTGAAGTTAGGAATGACAGTGAACAATTCGAATGGAAGCAGTGATCGCACACTCCTACTTTGAGCCTTTGAAGTGCGTCAGTGAATTTCCCTTGACGGCAAACCTGGCAGCGCGTGGCTCCGTAACGGACGACGCGCTGGACGCCACGCCCCTCCCACTTTACGGCTGCGCAGCGGTTCCACAGCCGGCCACTAGTAGGGCGAGTAGCCTTGCGCGGGTGCGGGGTCCATGCGCTTCCGTGTTCTCTTCAAGCGTCACAGTATGCACACGAGTTACTAAGAAGAAATCACAACTCAAACGCGCTATTAGCCAGCAACAAGCAATTTTCGTAATCGTCCTTTATAAGATATACAGCTCCAAATCACCATATCTACTTGTCACTTGTCTTAATCCTTGAACCCTGGTCTTTTCCTTTTTTTAATTTTTCTTTCCTTCCCTCCTTCTAAGAGCCCCTGGCAGGCGCCGTTTTCATTGTACGTATGGTGCGTGCTGGGCTTTGGAGCTGTACGCTGGACTGTGGATTTCTAAACATTGGAGAGGTGTATACTTGGACAAGGCTAAATTGGTATGGGACAGAGGAGGTTTATGGGGGCTTCACTTCAGCCCAGTGCTTCAGCCGCCCCCCCCCCCCCTTCGCAATTCAGCCGACCGTATAATATACAAAAGCATTTCACCCCTCTCTCTCTCCCTGCCACCACCCCGAAAGCAATTCCTGTCTATGCCACTGATCTTGCTACAACCTTTACATCAGCTGTTACAAAGTTAGAGCACACTTAATAATCATGTTGCAGACCACGGGCCACCGTCATTGAATCTCTCTTTATCTCAGTATGTCTCCGTCGTCCTTTTACGCAATAGCTAGTTTGTTGTACATCGTATAGCTCTGGTGCTTTTTCACCCCAACTGATCCGATATAAAACGATGTCCGAATGCGCTTTTCATGGTATTGTTTAACGCGTGCAAGAGCGGAATGGCGTCATGTGCGACAGTGTGAAGCTCTTTTCGACCGATCACTGATGCTTACCAGCAGGATTTTGCGCTGAATTTATCCTTTGCTCCAGACCGGTGGTTCTCAAATGGAGGTACTAGGGGTCCGCGAAGCTCAGCCTAATCAGTCAAGTCCAGCAATAAAAGTTCTCTTGTCTGAGATTCAGAAGAAACGTTACAATTTTCGAGTGAGTTTTCTCGTGTATATGTCACAAAAAGAAGTCTACTCCACACTAGCCCTTAGTTATATTCATTTATTAAATCGTTTTTGTAAATAAACGAGAAAATTTTCCTTCTCCTCGCCACGAACAGGGTCCTCCATCATATCTGCCGATTCAGAAGGGGTCCGCGAGTCATCAATGCTCGAGGACCACTGCTCCAGACAAGTTTTCTGCCTCGGCGTGTATGCTGGTTGTTACCTTCATAATAAATAGTTCACGGTATAAGTCACACCCATTATGCATATTGTACTAGGCACTGAGTTGCTTCTGGACGAGACAGCATTAGTGTATAAGTAAATTAATTTATATTATATTATTCCTTGATTACCTCATCTGGCGCATAGACAGCCGCACCCGTAGTATACTTCTGCGATCATACATCTCTCACTGATCTAGTGCCTTATGGTAGTACAGTTGTTTCGTGTGCAAGAAAGCGCTGAACATGCCGAAAAGCTCGAAGTAAATCTCAAAAGATGTAACAAATTGGTATTGTCCTTTAATAAGTAGCGGCCAATTTATTGTTATGTATGAGCCTCATAACAAACATTTGCAAACCCTTTTTGTGTCAATTAAATGTAAGCTTGTTTCGAATATAAGCTTTTGCTGGGACAATGTTTTCTGATTATTTATTACGATTATTTTGCCTAAGCAATTTGGGTCGAAGCCACGGAGTGTGTTCGCATACCTTGGTCTATATCATAGTTTCGCTCCCTTCCCCAGTTTTCAGAGTGGATGGCAAGGCACGTGTCCCCCCCCCCCCCCCCCCCCCCCCTTTCCCCTGAAACAGCCGCCACTGGGCAGGGCAAACTGCTTTTTATGAGGAGTCGGATGTCCTTGCTGGCATAGCTCACATACTTTTCACTCTCTCTTGCAGCTCCGTTCACTCATAAGCCTGAACGTGCGAGTTACATGCTCACTTTGACCAGTTGTACGTTTTTCGCCACGTGATCACTCTCCCCGCCCCGTATACCCCACTCCCAGAGAGAGGCGTCAGGTGATGAAAAGGAAGCGGTC